CCTCTATAGCATCATGAGAAGGGGGGAATGTGAGACCAAAGTGACTCCATTTTGCTAAAATCCACTATTCCCCTAGTCTCTATTGGCCTCACAAATTAATGGTTAAAATGTGCTTGCTCTGGGACAAAAGACACAATCTGTAACGAAGCAAAGTTCGTAAGTTGATTACTCAACCATCTGTTTGCCCAGGAAATGAACGTTCTGGGTCCACTATCTATAGAACAATCTGTCAATGTGCTGACCATCAGTACGTGACAGTCGACCACTAACCTTTGTCCCTCTTTTCCCCTGTAAAACCTACATGTAACCACCCCTCAAACCCCCGATGGGCCTAGCCAATCAGAAATATACACTTCATGCTTGCAAAATGCCAACCAATCATGTAACTGCTAAGTGAAAAATCTCCAAACCTTGCTGTAACCACAATAAAAACCCTGCTAATTTGAAATTTGGGGCTCTCAATTCTGATCTGCTGCATTGGTGACGGTTGGGAGCTCCTGCTCGAACTTGAATAAATGACCCTCGTGTGTTTGCATCGGAATCAGCTCCTTGGTGGTCTTTGGGGACTTTGCGATCTGGGCACAACAACTAATACTGAGACAACAGAAAATTTAAAAATAAACACAGGAGATAAATGACTACAAAGAATTGTAGCTCTTTTTTTTTCTTTTGAGACAGCGTCTTGCTATGTAGCTCAGGCTGGCCTTGAACTCACGGCAGTCCTCCTGCCTCAGCCTCCCAAGTGCTGGGACTACAGGTGTGCACCACCATTCTCTGACCCATAGCTCATTCGTAAATGTAAACATTAATAGGATTTGGACACACTTCATAGATTCTTTTCAGGTTCAGGTATTATAAACTGAAGCAAATAAATCTATTTTCCAAATTTTGTCCTTCAAAATCATTTCAGTATTTCTTACCTCACTATCAATGAGGGTACTTTGGCTCATCTACTAAAACTAATAGTAATACTGTATCTTGTTGGTCCCCTTATTAATTAATCAGTTCAATTAAAATTTTCACATGTGTAATGACTTTGTTCTCCTTTAAAAATTATCCTTTAATACATGCAACACTTAGGAACAGAGTCTCACCACTTTTTGTCATATGATTGCATGCACTCACAGGACTGGAAGCAACAATTTTCCTCTCTAGATTGAGGAACAGGAATTTAGATTTTTAATTTTCCTCATCCTTAACTTTTACATAGCCATCACAGTTATCTCACAGTCTGCTGTTGTGGGTACTAAAAATAATTCTCATTTTTAGACGTTATGGAGAAATGAAACCAGGCTTGGTGGCACATGCCTGTAATCCCAACACTCAGGAGGCTGAGGCAGGAGGATCACCACAAGTTTAGGGCTAGCTGGGCTACATAGTGAGTTCAAGGCCAGCTGAACTCTACAGTGAGACCCTATCTGAGAGAGAGAGAGAGAGAGAAAGAGAGAGAGAGAGAGAGAGAGAGATGAAAATCTGTACCATAGTAGCAGTTTTTGTATGAGATTATTTTATCATTTTCTTTATATGTCAACTCTTGGTTTTGCTTCCAAATTTTTAACTTCCAGTAGCTCTTTATTATTCCCTAAAATTTTTGCAGTGTTCTGTTTTTGTTATCTTCCTTAGTCCAATGATGATGTTAATAATGAACTTTAAAATAATTCTCTTTGCACTATTTTTAGTTTGTCAAAATTGTATTTTTTGTTTGTTTCTTTCTCTGTTTTTTAGTCTGGGGCTTCATCTTTCATGGTGGGAACCTTCCTCAGAAAGTGGTAATCATGGTTGAGCGTAGGGAATTGGAGAATGTATCGGAAGCTCTAGGAATGCTGACCTTCCCCCCCACCCCCTAAATATATTGGCTTCTCTTTTCCTTCATGATCCAACTCAGGCGTTATCTAGTTTTTGGAAGTAGTTTTGGTGTCTTGCCCTGGCCCAACGCTTTGACACACCTGTGTGCCACCTTGCATAGACTGTGAGCTGCTCGAGGTGGGCACCCAGGCTTGGCTTTCCCTGTGTCCTTACTCCTGTGTTCGCCATCATCGCAAACACATTGTTAATGCCTGGGAATCTTGTGGAAACAATAAATGCCCAAAGGCCAGCTTCAAAAATGCATAAACTACCCATTTTATCCTCACAATAATTGTCATTCTCCTTTTTTTTTTTGCAGTGCTGCCTCAGTTGTGCAAAAATCATCAACTGATAAGCAAGTGAATGTACTGATAAGCAACTTTCCTACTGTTATATAGAACAACTTTCCTACTGTTATATAGGTTTAAAGCAGAGTAGTACATGACAGTGGACTGAGATTGATGGAGGAGAGAATGCCTCATATGTATCTGGCATTATGCTAAGGAGGCACTTTGTAGAGTTATTTCTCAGGAAAAAGTCCATTGATTTACCGTTGAGTTGAGGCTCAGAGACATTAAGCAATTTACCCAAGATACACAATTATGTTTTAAAATTAGGTCCTTCTTGTGCTTTGGGCATCTCTGAAGGATCAAGACTGGTAGGGTGGCCACTTTGGTGGGATTTTTGGTACCTGTTGGGATACTCCCCCAGCCCACCCTACTCCCTGTGCCTACACTGCATGCACTTACACACTCTTTATTTAGAACGTTGCTCTACTTTTTGACCAAGACTTTCAAAGAGCCAGACAAGGAGCCTTATCAAGTCACTTGGAGCAGAAACCCCTGATTTGATTGTTTCCACCCTGGTGGACCTCTGAACTGCTTCGGGCATACAGCCTTGTAAATGTCAACTTTGTGTATATCAGCAGGATTCTCTGTTAGAGTAATCAATAAGACATACTGTCTTTTGCTAATGGCTGCATTAAAAGGGATCTGTCCTTTTGCATTAAGAAATCAGATTACACATGTCTGCCAATTGACTGAAATAAAAAAAGCATTTCTCTTTAACTGTTGCCGTGATCCTTTTGAGCTTAGTACCAGGCCCTGACTGTGGAAGTAATCCAGGAAATGAACTTTGCAGCTTTAACATCCTAAGCAGCACTTCAGATATACAGGAAAATTCTAGAGCTTTTAAATCAAACCATCTCTCCATTTGGCAGTGTCAGAGAATCATCTAAAGATGTGATTGAGCTCACAAGCATTCGTGTGATGGGTCATAATTTCAATATTATTATCCTCATATTGTAGGATTTAGGCCTAACTTAATTGGGGTAGGTCCAAGGCCAGATTAAGATCTTTGTTAGCAAAGCAATATTATGTATTTCCCATCTGATTCATGAATTATTACTTTATATACAGTAATTTTCTCAGGCCATTAATTACTTAACCTTTCCCTCTGGCATCAGATAGAGTTTTATTTTTGTACTTCTTAAGAGTATTCTTTTAGGGCCAGGGATTTAGCTCAGTAGTTTCACTGCCTGCTACACAAGCGCAAAGACCCAAGTTCGATCCCCGGTACCAAAAAAAAAAAAAAAGAATATTCTTTTGGCA